TGCATATGACCCCCATGGTCAGGGTTATTAAAGCCAGACTTTCAAAGGTAGCCATTCACTATATTCCTTTTTCTGGGTGCCCAATCCAAGCGGTATTTCTAGGACCAACTGTTGATCAAGGAAGAAAAAAAATATATTAAAGAACTCTGAGTAAACACCATCCACCCTGTATTCTGAATTAAGCAGAGGATCTGTGGGGAAAATAGTAAGTGGGCATATAATTAAAGGCTATATCATAATGCACACATACCTCTTCAGAATATTAGCCACTGCAAACTGCAGATCAAGTTTGATCTCAATCCTGATATCTGATACGATCGTGAAGAATTAGAAACCATGATATATCTGAAGAACACTTCAAATATAGATGTAAGCCAGCTGCCAGATAAAAAGGCTGTCTAGATCAGGTAGCGATTATAACAGGTAATGAGACAATGCTATCGCTGTCAGTATTATGAGTATCTTGAAAGTAACTGCACCTCACAAGAACAAGACATTCAGTCAATATAAGGGTTAAGCTGTATAACGGTTCCTTATTTGTTACTTTTTTACGGTAATTATCTGTAATTTTCGTTTGTGTTAGGGGTGTCTAGAGCAAAGGGATAAGTGCTTTTCCTGTGCAATCTGAACAAATACATTCTGCTTCTCTAGAATGGATTTATTATTCATTGCTTATTCATTGCACCTACTGTGGTTGGCAAGAAGGGCTTCTTCAGCTAAATTTGCCCTGAGCAGACAAGTAGCTGATCCTATACATATTGTTCTCTCAGACCTGCCTAACCTCAGGCTTTTCAGCCTGGATCTTAGGGTTTTCTGGGATTTCTCAGCTCCTCAGTCCCTTCCATAACTGCTGTCAGATGGGCTTCTGAATCATCCAGAATGGTGCAACATAAATTTTAAGATCATTTTAGCCAAAACTGCATGTGCTTTCACTAATACATTGTCTAAAACTTCCACAAACCAGACTAATAAGTTTTACCATTTATCTTGATGTTATTGCCAGCTTGTTCTTGTCCTTGTTCTAGTTTTATTAGCCTTCAATTCATTTGTGAATTTGTTGTTTTTGTCTTTAACGTCCAATCGTCAGTACCCTAGAACCTTTCATCAGTGCAACCTATTACGTGATAAAACTGCACAGCGCGTTTTCTTTCAAAGTGACAGTTAAAAATTGTAAAGTTATAGATATTTCATATTTGATTTAACTCTCCCCCTGCCCCAATGGACTATAATTGTACCTTATTATGGTGCTCTGGATGTTTAAGAATAAAATTGCTCTGCCGAGATGGGTTACAGCGTTATTAATAATTGTTCTCACTTGGACTGATAAGACATACCCGAGAAAAGAAAAAGCATCCAATAATGCCTCCAAGCAGCAGCTATAAAGCGTCAGGAATGAATGCCTTTATCAAAAGAACGGTCATTAAAAGGCAAGATCTTTGACAGAAATCTCATCCTAGAAACCTGGATCGAATCTGGTATGTGGGACCTTTTCTCTGTTGCTTGGAAGGTTTTTTCTGGGGATCTAGAAGAATCCTTGTATTTCACACAGCTCCATGACTGCTTGCTTGTGCTTTTTCCTGCACCTGATATCAGTAGGCTCAGTCTTTTTCAAACCAAAAAACCCCAATGATTTTGATGAGGCGAGGAACGTAAAATTGCCATGCACAGGGTCAAGACCACGGGTCCTGTGTCTCACGGTGGCAGGGAGCGGGTGCTGAATGGGGTCTCACCAGGGTTTTCCTGTCCTTCTCTTCCTTGCAGCCTCCAGCATTGAAGGCCCAGGCAGGCCTGATGCAGAGGCTGTGCCCCTCGCTCCCTCCCATCGACAGCTACCGATGCCCCTTTCCTGCCCGCCTGTGTCCGATCCCTTCCGGACTCGCAGCTGTCACCACGTGCCGTGGCACCGAAATCCACGTGCACGCCGCGCTGAAAACCAACGTCCTTCCTTGCGTTTGTCTCTGAACTGACTGCCTGTTGTTCTCCTGCGGCAACCCCTCCTTCTCCTCTGAGAGTCAGTAACACATAGAGGATTTTGGAAACCCTGATCGTGCCCCCACTCCAGTGCCTCTTTCCTGGCCTGCATGGGGAAGCCCCTCCATGGCGCTTGTCGTCCTGGCCACCTTTTGTGGGCCCTTTTCTAGTCACAAGTTTGAAATCGGTTCCTCGTTCCTAATATTAACAATGGAAAAGGAACCAGGACAGGGACAGAGGGCCGGGCTGCGGCCCTGTCCCTGCGGGCCCTGGCTGTGGTCTTGCCCTCAGGGCCTCGTTTACACTTCTTCTATCACGCAGGGCTTGTCTGTGCCAGGGTGTCTCAGAGACTGTGAAGACGCTTTTCCTTGCCAATGGCCCCGGGCCCTGCGTGCATGTGGGAGCTGCCCCATCCCTCTGAGGGCAGGAGAAGCACCCATCGATAGAACGGCGCTCTCCGCCGCCTTTTTGAACGGCGCGGGCCCTCAGGTGAGGCCGGGCCCATCGGTCACTCGGCGCTCCCGCGCCGCCATGTTGGATGCTGCGGTTCCGCCCTCAGGTGAAGCCGGGCCCATCGATGACTCGGCGCTCCCCCGCCGCCATGTTGGACGCTGTGGTGCCGCCCTCAGGTGAGGTGATCCGCGGTGCGGGCCGGGTGCGGGCAGTGCCGCAGGTCCCGCCCCTCGCGGTTGAGTGGGAGCTAAGCAGGGCTAGGCGTGATCATTATGTGGATGGGAGACCGGGGGTCGGGTTTCCCCTCCAGCCCCAGAAAAACCGCCCGTGTAGCCCTCGGCCTTTCCCCCTCTTGGCTGGGATTAGGCCTGCACAGAGGTGGACAGTAGCCACCTGTCCCGTTTTGTCCCGGTCACGTTTCCCTGCCCCGTCTCGGCTGGTGTTGTGAGGCGCCCCACTGGGCACGTAATGATGTCAGTTTCACTGGTCAGGAGAGACCCCTCTTGCTCTAGGGGTCTCTCGCTATGTGCATGTCACCAGACTGACTCCACAGAAGGGCAGTCAAGCATCTGCTAAATGGGGATAACTCTTACACTATACGGGGGGAGAAGGCTTTGTTTCAACTGATGCCATCCCTCCCTTAGTGATACCCCTGGCCAGCATGTACCGGTGAGAAAGGGACGCTGACATTGCCAAGGTGATCAATTGCTCAGGATTTAGAAAACCAGTGCGGGTCACGCCACCCTGTCGCTTTAGACTATCCAGTCCCAAAGATAGGAAGGTGAAGGGGATGAAGTACAGTCCTGTGTATTGTAGACCAGAGGTTTGTTCCAGGGTTGATAAAGCCATGCTCAACAGTAAGAGTTGTCAACAGGAAAACATTTTCCTGGGCTACAGCTGAGGGGGTTGGAAAGCCTCTTCTTCCCTACATCCCCCTCCCAAGAAACCTTGGGTGGAGGCCTCAGCCGTGAACGCAGGATGCTCGCATGTCTGGAGTACAGTTATTTATACAGGCTTTTTACATTTCTGCTACAAGAAAACGTAACCACTTTGCCTCCCTCATCACTTGCCTATCACGTGAAGTTTTGGCACAGAGAATCAGTACACGAAGGCTGCCGTAAAATTTCCCTTAAAATGTCGTTACTCTCAACTGAGAGATGAGTTGTGGGATGTTGAACACTGTTGCCCTGTTTTAAAAGCCCTAATAGTGAAGACTAGATTGAAAGGGGAAAATAAACATTAGAACGATAACATTTTCGAGAAATTAATATGCTGTCAGATTGCTTTATTTATAGAACAAGGTAGTAGTATAGTACTTGGAAACTTATAAATGATTAATTCATCATGTTGTCAATTAAGTAACTTAATATAGTTACTAGGTAATTTGCCCATTACAAAAAAATCTACTGATTGAGCAGACTTTCAGCATTTTTAACCAATAAGTGACTTGATTATAAACATGGTGTGGCATACGGTCTAATACAATTCATGCATGAGAATACTGGTAGGCAGCGTTAAAGCAATACAGTCAAAATATTAATCACAGTTGGATAGCATGCTATGAGTATCTTAGTTTCTCAACTGCAATGTAATCACCAAAATTAACATTGTTTTTGCAGCTACATATGGCAAATAATTTCTAATTGTTTTTAAAGTGCATCTGACAGAACGCTAATCAGGAAATTAGTATCAGTTGAATAGAAAAATAGAAGACATAAGCAGCCAAGAAACATGATCACAGTTCCCTAAAAGGGCATTGCCATACATTTCCAGTCAAGTGATGCTCTTTAAGGTCCCAATCCTGTAAACATGAGTGACTTACATGTGTAAAGGTCTGCAAGATCGGAGATGAAGCTTGTTAGTTCATGTGAGATCATGTGCAAGTTTGACTGATTTTAGTGTTTCCTGGTTTTGAAAGAATAGTACAGTGACTAACCTAGTTCCCGAGGTAAGTTATGCTAATTGCTTCCCAGTAGGCATACTGCTAGCAAAATTATTTCGGAATGCAAAGAAATAGCACCGTGTCAGAAATCACCTTAAATTCAGGGAATGAGTATTTGTAAGAATTTAGATGCAGCTGGGTATCATGCAGACTTGTATACTAGAGGTGCAGTTTTGCCCTCAACTTCTTCTTTAAGGACAGTTGACACCTCTTGGAACTGGGTTCTAGAGTAGCATTTGGGAATTGAACGGGTACATGCTAAGCAAATTTCGAGGTGCAAACTACTATTAACTTCCATTGACTCTTAAGAACACTGAACACCTAGCAAGCAGCAAGTGAATAGTACTTACAAAAAAGAAAGAAAAGTACTGCTTAAAGAGCAACAGCATTGATCACTTCTTGAAGCTAAATGATGTGTGGTAGCTCTTTGATACCAAAGAGTTACATGCTACTCTAAGTATTTTGGATTTGTGCTAATTAGCTCTTAAAATCATAGAGACATAGGAAGTAGAGCTGGATTTTTATATGATTTTATTTGAAAATGATGTCTGAAAATATGGATTCCTGTTTGATGATAGGGAAACCTTTTCTTTCTTTTTTTGGCAGAATTTAATTTACAACAAACTTTTTTCTTACTTTCAGCAACATCGTTAAGTGTCTCATTGCTTATTTGAGCTGCTGAAATTATTTTCCAGCTGTGAAACATCTGCAAGAATGTTTAAAAATGAATATCAGGTAAAGCAGCAATAGCTATTCTTTCTGTTTCACCCATGGAAGAAATGAGTGGAAGCTACAAACTGTGTAGCAAAAAAAGTGTTGTTGAAATTTTCTTGGATATTTAGTCATACGGTATCTTCTAAACCCTATTTGCAAATATGGAAGTAATTTTCAGTGTAACTGTCAGTAGTGTGCAATATAAAAATATCCAAGTTTGATGTTGCAGGAACCGTAGTTCATGCCACAATCCTCTTACAGGCAAATGGTTGTATTAACTTCAAGTCTCTTGTCTGCAGTGGGTTTATTTCCCCCCACTTCATCCCTTATTCATTCAAAAGAAAATTGGGCCTGTGTTTTCATGAAACACCACTTTGAATCTTCACTGAATTTAATGATGAGTTAATGGGCTTGTTGTTTGGTTGTAAACCTTTACTCAATTCTGTGAAGGTGCAAAGCTGGCATTCTTGGAGACCATCAGTTAAGTGTTTTCATGGAGTATTGGGGAAAAAAACAAACCCTCCACAGTATCAGCTATATTCATTTTACCCTTTTATTTAGTTTTTTTAGCTGGGTGTGACTCAGAAAAATCCTTTTTTGTCTGAGTTGCAGAATTAAACACGTCTCTATAAAGCCATTCATCTGTTGCTTATTTAATTTTTTTTACATACCATGTAACTTTTTGTTCTTAAAAGGATAAAATAGTAAAAACAGTTGGTGTTTCTTTACTATATCCATGGTGTATTGGCTTTACTTAAGCATCAGTTTAAATATACAGTCAAATATCAAATGTGAAGTGTGCTTTTTTGGATTGATTAGAAACTGGGATTAAGACTGACATCAGAACTGTGGTCAATAATATTTATATTGACTGTGGTTAGCCATTGTTTGGCAGTTTGCCCTCATACGTTCAGCTTTTATCAGACTCTGCTCAGTGATGAAGCCATGTTCAACACTTGGATGGGGTGATGGATCTTTAAACTGTTTTTTTCACAGGGTGGCCAGTTTGTTGAACTATTCAGTGCTCAAGGCAAGAATCCAGGAGCAAAATGGAAGATCTTTGGCAGCCCATCAGCAATTTGGAAAGTAAGTTTTATGGGGAATTTGTAGGTCGCAGAGTATAAAACATCCAGTAGTGTACTTGGAGTTCAAAATTAAAAGGTAATGAGGGCTTTGGCCTGAGTATAGAAAAGTTGTCACTTGCAGTTCCGTCATGATGACAGAATAAATGACCACTCACATTTGCACTGTATGCCTATTTGCAAACTGAATTAGTCACAACTGCAGTTTTGTAGCTGAACTATTTCTAGTAGAAAAAAACAAAGTAGTTCGGTTATTCTAATATCTCTTGAGTCAAGTCTGGGCCAGTGGGTCACAAATTCGACACGTCAACCCAGTCTATTCACAAAATATATGAATAAAAGGCACGCTTTGCGGCGTGTGTTTTTTTCTAACATCTCTTAATTGTTCTGCGATTGACTGCCATGTATCATAGCGTAAATCCTGTTTGTCTTGAAAATAAAACTAAGCTAACCTTACATGTTGGCTATATGTTATTGCGGGGATGGCACTTGCTTTCTTCAGTGAGGAGGCAGCTATTATGTTGTTTTCTACACTGTCCTGTTTTTGTAGGAGTTTGATAAGGAGGTCAAAGGCTTTATCTTTGTACTTGAGGGAAGCAGTCAAACCAACAAAATGCAGCTACCAAAGGAAGTGAGACAGACTCGTAAGTATCAAAACATTAAATATTTGAGATGTTATTAAAACTACTAAACCTATCTGCAATACTGTCTCTTAGTTTGGCCTCTTCTACTGTCAGTTAAATAAATGATGTCGCTGTTCAGCAAGGCAGTCATTACCAGTGAGCAGAAGGTTTAGAAATGCCACACACAATTAAGCATTTTGTGGCAGGAGTAAATTGTTACAGCTCCATTGTTATCACTTCATTTGTTCCATTCCTGACTCTTATTGTCTGACCTTGGGCAAATAACTTAGGGTCCAAGCCAGTGCTCATTGAAAGCAGCAAGTTCTTCAGTTAGTGTTAAATGGGATCCTTAATCTATTTAATTTTATTCTTTAATTTAGTGATATTTTACCCACTTCAGAGATGTTTAGTGGCTTTATGGTAAAGGCCATTGTCAAAGATGCTATAGAGACCAAGGATAAAGTATTATGTTGGTTGCTTTTTATAGAAGATTTGCTTTTTATAGAAGAAATGTCTAAACCACTTCACTTTTAAAATTAGAATAGAAAATAGGAATGGATGAAAAGATTTTCAACAGCATGAAACTGTATTTTTACATAATTTCTCACTTTTTAAAAGTACTAAAGTAACTCTCATGGGTTCAGAGATTTTGGCAAGCAATTTCTGGA